GAGCTGAACACCTTAGTCTTCCTAAGAGAGCATTAAAGAAAGAAGGACTCCAAATTTACATCTGAACAGCAGTTATTCTGACCACCCTACTTCCTTCATCCATTCATGAAGATGCTTAAACCATTGTATATAGGAGGATCTAACAGAATTTATCTTGAAAAGTCATTAACACTCCTCAAAGGAATTCAAAGAAGGCAGAAAATAGAAGCAGATTTGAGAAATCACCTGTTCCCCAAGACGCAGTTTTTCCAAAATTTCTGACTTAACTTGCAACGTGGTATAGGGCTTTGCTTTACATTTATTTGTGAGGGCCTGGTGCTTGCAGCCTATGGCAGTTCTGACCTGTTCATTCATTGAATCCCTAAGGTTAACACACAGCATAAGGACAGGGCTGATGTTTCTTTGCTCGGTAATAAGAACCACAACATTATGCTTATAAAAAGTGAGAGTCTTGAGATAACTTCCTTCCAAATCCCCTGAAGCCTCATCTAAAATGGTTCAGTTGTTAACCCTTAAACAAGTGCAGTATTTATTGACATTTTTGTGTTCCTTGCAATCTATACTCAAATCACAACAGCCAACACATCTAGCAGGGAAAAGAAAATGTCTCGTTCCTGTGTGTGGATTGTTACACAACCCAAACAGTTTTCTCTTTTGTGAAGGTTATTTAAAAACAAGGAGCAATTAAGAAAAGAAAAAACACAAAGAAACTACAGGATATGATTCATAAAAATCCCACGTCTCCTCTATATGCGTATACAGTCTTTGAAAAAATAAATAGAAGTTTTTGTTGTTTAGCAATGTTCCAGTAAGTAATACACATGCCAGAGAACAAGCAAGCTCAAAACAATAAGCTAAAATTAGAAGAGGCAGATTCAGCATCTGAAGTCACACTTACTTTATAATGTGAAGGCATCTGGAAGAAATATAGTCACATGGGCAGTCTGGGTGCTGGCATAAAGACTGTAGCTCTGGAGATTCTTCCATCATCTACAAGCTCTATGTAGATCCTCAAACAACTCTTTTAATCCTATCTGTGGAAAGAGGCAACAACTGGCCTGCTTCTGTGGCTGTTGTGAGGCTATTTACAAGGATCTTGGATTTTTGTGTTGAGTGCCACAGAAAGAAAAATATTTCTTCAAACCACTCAGTTTTAAAAAGTGCCCCAAAAGTAATTTACTTCGAGCCATTGTGCTATGCAGAGTAAGTCTATTTCTACCAAAATGGAAGAGACAGAGAAAGACATGGTGCACGCTAGTACTGACCATTTGTCAGCACTTCAGTATTAATATCAATAACATTTTTTCTGACATATTTTTCTCCTAACTTAAAAACAATAAAAAAGTTCTGTGCAGCAGATACTTGCTAGCCACAATCAATTCTCAGTAGACCTCATCAACTTAATCAATAAAACACTTAAATCCCTGTAGGAAACATGTTCAGCAACAGTAAGAAGAAGCAAGATCTATGTGAGTCTGTGACTAGGACCACTCTTCCATAGTGTGCCATCAAGCAGTAATCAAAAAAGAGTTACTTACACCTACAGCAGAAGAAAGGACAGCTGTCATGACTACATGCAAATTTTGACATTACAAAGGGGATTCAGGTGGAACTATCTGACAGCATTCTAGATGTACATCTCCAGGTCAGATACGGCCTCTAAAGGAGATAACATGAGGTATGGTAGCTCAATGAAGATGGAAAGATTTCATTGCAAGGCAATACTATATTGTGATGACGCTTCTTATGAAATAATTTCCTGGACATTTTAAAGGAGAACTGGATCATATTCATTTTTGAAATTTTTATGTTCTTTTTGCTGTTTACAGATGATATTGCAGCTGTTCTTAAACTACTTGCTCAACTTTCAGTACAAACCCAAACACCCACTGCAGGCTCAGAAGGAGCCAGGACTGGTTCCTTCTGGCTAAGGTGGTAGAGACTGAACTGCTACACATCAGATCTAGTGACAGACAATACACATTTGCATTTCAGCTAACATAATATGTATTTATATACCGTGATTTTGAGGGGACGAGGAGAGGCAGTTGAGAATGAGAGAAATCAATTGCAGGATTATTTTTGGTCTTGTTTCCTAAGAATCAGTTATTATTTTGGTAGCTAGAACAAGGAATCACCAAAATTTTCCCTGCTTGTAGACAAAATTAATTATAACAAGACTAGATTAATTATTGACTTTATACCAGATTAACTATAGATGTTCCAATAAGGTTCCCAAAATACCTAAAATACGGCGAAGAATATTCAGCTATTAGAGTGCATCCAAAGGAGGGCAATGAAGATGGTGAAGGGCGTTGAGGGGAAGTTGTATGAGGAGCAGCTGATGTCACTTGGTCTGTTCAGCCTGGAGAAAAGGAGACTGAGGGGAGACCTCATTGCAGTTACAACTTCCTCGGGAGGAGGAGAGGGGAGGCAGCCCCTGATCTCTTCTCCGTGGTGACCAATGACAGAACAGGAGGGAATGGCCTGAAGTTGTGTCAGAGGAGGTTTAGGTTAGATATTAGAAGAAGGTTTTTTACCCAGAGGGTGCTTGGGTACTGGAATAGGTTCCCCAGGGAAGTGGTCACAGCACCAAGTGTGACAGAGTTCAAGAAGTGTTTGGGCAATGCTCTCAGGCACATGTTGTGATTCTTGGGGATGGTCCTGTGGGTCCCTTCCAACTCGGCGTATTCTGTGATTCTGTGACATAGCCAAAGTTGGAGAGCAGAATTTAGACAATGAAAGGCAAGAGAAGTTGAGAAGAAAATAGTACAAATTACCCCAGTTATCTTCATACTCTTTGCTCCTGTGTAGAGTTCGGTAGAACTGCACACAGCTAGGCTGGGCTTCTGTCCCAGCTGAAATAGGTACTGTAATTACGGAAAATGAACCTATACTGACTTGGGAGAACATAAATATTTGTAATGCATGCTTTTACCTTGATTTACTGATGGATATTTTATTTTGATAACAATAATGTTATCACAGAGTAATATTTAATTAGATCAGTTAAAGAATAATGCATTCAAATGCTGTAACCTTCTGAATGTTGTAAAATGATGTTGTTTGTATTTGAAATATATCACAAATTGGGTAATTTGGGATCTTATCAGGAATGTTCAATTCAGTTATTAATAATCTATTAATAATCTATTCATGTGGCAGTCATAACAGGCTGGGTATTTTTCAGTGATATGTGAACAGAGAAGTTCAGCCTGAAGCAGCATACAAGCTAAGACTATAAAGTCTGGACTTTGTAATCCTGGACTCATGCTCTTACTCAGCTTCTAGTAAAGCACAGAACTTCATTTTGGGTTTTTGTTGAACCTGCTCCATTTTACAAGCAAACCCAGAAAAGGACATAAGAAGAATTGTAAAACCCTATTTTACAAGTCTCCAGGAGGCCTTATGAATGTACCTGGGCCATTGTGATAGCAAAGCTAAAAACTGAACTTTTCTCTTTAAAACCAACCAACCAACCAACCAACCAACCAAAGGTAGCTCTAGTATGGTGAAACCATGATTTTAGTATCCTCCTCCTCTTACTCGGCAGGGGAAAGAGACAGAAATAAAGAGGGGAAGTGGCTCAACACATGCTCATTCAGTTCTATCTCACTATTTACCCTTTCTGACAAAGAGCCATCCAACTCTTGCTACTCTTTTCAAAGCTGCCAATGAAAAGGAAGATGCTTCCTGGGGAGGAGGATCTCCAGGGGAAGCAGTGAAAAAGCATCAGAGAGGGAATATGGAAGAATTCACTCCTACCCACCTACAGGAGATTCCTAGAAGCCTTGTTAGTCTGAAGGTTTACAAATATCCACTCCACATCTCAAAGGAAAGGTCAATTCTGGCAGGTTGATTTTAAAGCAGTAACGGTGTCTAGCTGGAATCTCTCACAAGCTTGGAATGTTAGAAGTAGACCCAGGAGAGAGGGTTTAATGTACAAAAAGCAGGTGAGGCAGCCAGAAAGACATGATGAACGCAATTTATCACAGGGCTCTGCAATTTATCACAATAGAATCACAGGAAACAAGCAAAGCAGAGAAGTAGATAGATAGACTGGATAGATTAAGATCCTCTGGGCATAGCACTTCTTTGAAATATGCCAAGGAAATTACATGTTGCATGCTCAGATTTTCAAACAGTATTTTATGGATGGAATGGAGCTGTGTGTTTCTCAAGTTGGGGTCCTTTTCCCCAGAAAAGAAAAAGATGTGTTATTCTGAAGAATGAATAAAAAAAAAAAGAAAAAGCTAAAATTATAGAATGCTGGTTTGCTTCATTCTGGTTTTAATCCCCTTCTTGAGCAGCTCTGGATATGTGCCAGGAGGTAGGGGTTTCCATGTGCAAACAAAGCGCCTGTACTTCCCAGCTATCCTCCTTCCCACTCAGTTTTAAAGTTCAGGTGTATAAGGCTCCACACAGGAGCAATTTCAGTCTGTGAGCTACTTTTGACAATGTGCAAGTGATCAAAATGCGCTCACAGTAAACACACTTCTTCCTCACTCCACTGCTTTTGTGGGGTGCCTTTCTCAAACCAGGTCTGTTCTATCAGGGTAACAGTTTTACAGCAGCAGGGCTGGCGCAATACCGTGGTCCAGAGTGTTGCTGCAGCGTGCTGGGTACTCCCCACCTCCCACAAATTAGGGGCCTTACAGCTTTCAAAACAGTGCATGTACTATTTAAATTGCTTCACTGGGAGGAGAATTATGTGTTCTGCAACGCCTCAGGACAATGAGCCAAAGGAACTATAGAATAGGAGCTTGGTGTTAGAGCCAGGGCTCTGCTTTGTGTGTGTTTTAGCCTGGTATGTAACATTACTTTTACATTAACATTTGTGGTTCCTTTTTTATGCACTCCAGCTTCACCATGCTTCCCCCTTTATATTTTAACAGTCAGAATTCTATGATCCAACCAGGGTGGCATGTTCAAAGCTCTACTTCTTTTTAGCACTGATTAAAAAAAAAACCAGGCAAAAAAACCCCTCAGAGTATTGACAGAGCTTACTTCAAATAGCTTTTATTAACACTAGGACAAGACTATAGCCAAAGAATTATACAAAACACAAAACAAAAAGGATTTTAACAACTTGGTTGAAGACTATTTCACGCCAATCCAGAGCTCATATATCTATAAACAACAAAGTTTTGGAGCACAATATTACTTAACATTACTCATTGGATGCTTTCAGATACAAAAACGTATCAGGAATAATAACAATGGTTCCCTTTACTCTTATGGAAATATTACTATTGACCTTTGAAAATGTTGTCCTTTGGGTCAGTCCCACTGATACTTTATCCCTTAGAATCTGCTCTGCCTGGAAAGACAAATTACAGATAAACTTTTAGAGATCTGAGCAAAAGGACTGTTTTTTACTGTAGAAACAGATAGCAACATCAATTTCCCAAGAAAAAAATAGACACTTCAGCTGTGCGTCCCTAGACCAAAAAGTCAGTGTTGTAAAAACCAACAGCAGTAAGTTTGCTTTGAAAGCTTTAGTTATGAGTTCACCAGGTATTGCTTTATGCTTTCCTACTGCATTCTAAATTAGAATATTAAGCCAATCATTAAATTTAAAATAGCAGTTAACTATGCAGCAAGAGACATGTGAACCATTCCCATAAGACATGTCATCTACACTCTTGTGAAGCCAATAGAATAGATCCACTACTGTCAGTGCTCTTTCAGACAGACATTTCTAGAAGCAGAACTGGCACTTCGTATCAGAAACAGGTATGTGTGGCCAAGCTTAGATCTGTTACCTGGGCTTTGTTTACAGTTTCATGTGGCTGACTGCAAAGTTCAGGTTTCTTCTCTAGCTGCCTCCCAGATATAACCCAAAGCCTGTTAGAGGAGGGATTTCAGTGCTCTTTGAACCAGGACATCCTATGGCTCTGTTACAGCCAATGTGTCTCTGGCCATGCAGACATACCATCGGAAGGGGGTAATATGTGGGGATCTTAGCACAGAATCACTCTCACTGCATAGCACCAGTGCCACGGGTTTCATGCATCCACTCAGAAGCATGGCTTCTGTATAAATTACAGCCCTTATAAATTACAGCCCAACTCACAGTGTGCTAATTGACATCCAAACAGCAGTATCTTTGATGGTGCAGAAGAATTTATATTTTGCTATAATCTATTTTAATATGCTGAACCACAGAGCAGGATGAAGGATTGTCCAGAAGACATATAATTGATTGTTGCTGGAACATCCTTTTTGGTCTTCACTCTCTGTGGTGTGTTACTTACTAGGGATTAAAACTGAGCTAGCGACAAGATGTCATGGGAGAAAACTTTTGGATCAAGCGAAAATATTACATTGTTAAAATCAAAATGGGTCCCTTTTGAGGCTTGAGAGGAATGTAAGTTTCACAATTTCTTTTTTTTTAACAGTCAGCAGACAGCTAGCTAAATTGTACTTTTAAAATACTGCTCCAGTTTGGATCTGTCACAAAAGCATTTAATTGCTGCTAGAAGTGACAAAGATAAGCTACTCTCATTCCCACACCAAGGGCAGGGGCATCTGTCACAAAAGACAGACTTTTTTTGTGTGGTTTTCTGTGTGCTACAAAAGGGGATTCAATTATAGGTATAAAAACGAAGCAAGTGACATGACAAAGAAAAATCTTGAATGACAATTTAGAACACAAACTCCTTCAAATCCAGGATGAAAAGCAGGTAGCAGAAACTTGATTTAAGAGAAATTCTTTCCTGGCAGGTTCCACACACTACATCCCCCCTCCCCAGGTACATATTCTGTTTTACTTCCATATGGAGTCTGTAAAAAAAAAAGAAAAAAAAAGTACAATGGTTCACAAAGCTCTATTGTGACCTTTAAACATAAAACAACCATGCACCAATATGCTTATGGAAAGGCCACTATTGAGAAAAAAAATAATTTCCCCTATCAGTCACCTTATGAAGTGTCTGCTGGAAGTTGATAACTTCTCGGGCAAATGCACAGTATACACACAGGGCAGCACACCTGGCTGCTGCTGCTGCTGCTACTTAGGACAGGAAATAGTACAGCAAGCTTCATGTCTGCATGTGTGTGGGCATGCTTGTGGGACAAGGGGGCATTTCCCAAAGAACAAACGCTCGCAGAGCACCTCCTTGCTCCTGCAAGCTAATAGGAGTTAGTTGTCTCACAGCCATCAGTGCCTTTGGAAAAGTTCCCTCTAATTCTTCGTCCCAGACACATTGCCCCGAAAGTGTCCTGCTGTCTGTCTACAAAAATTAGTTAGTCTCTACATTCTTGTTCTCTACAGGACCTCTGGTGTTGGCTGCAGCATAACCTTTCTAATATTTCATCTCCGGTTATGACTCTCAGCTTTTTAGAGAGGCTGCACTGAGATAAGACACCAACTAAAATACCACATACTCTAGAGAGGGATTAATTTTGCTACTTACATTCAGCTGGCAGCGTGTTGTTGACTTTTTTGCAAAGTAAAGAAATAGCCATCTTTGTTTGCATAACATTTTCTTTTTCTTTTATTATATTTATTTAAGATAGTTTAATGATTTTACTTTTCTCAGATTCACTTGCTTGGAATTAATTGCTTCATTTTCACTGAAAGTAAAATTAGGAAGGTACATGATTAAAAAAGGGAATAATTCTGTCATCTTTACACTGGCAAAATTCCCATGAACTTTGATTATTCACTAGGAATGTTGCCTGAAAAAGGATCATATAATCAAGCACTTCATTGCTGCAGATTATATTAAAGCCAAATGAGCACATACAGAACTCCTGCACACAGAATCCAAAAATGAAGTGCAAGACACTCTTAGGTTACAGCAGTTCTGAGATTTGCTGTTCCTGATTGTTCTCATTCCAGCCCAGGTAAGAGCATTAAGGTGGATAAAATTAATTCTTTTCTTCACATCCTGAGTCATATCTCTTCTAGTTTTCAGTTTCTACTATGCACTGAAGGACCCAAGAATACAAGAAAAGTATTTAATGACCTAAAAGTACAAGAAAAGCATAACAATACAAGAAAAGCCACATTCATCTTAATATTTAGTCCCTAACACTGGAGAAGAATATGAACTGGAGCAAGCATGTTAGTGGTACTTGCTGCTGAGGCATCTCTCATTCTGCTAGTTGGTGACAGGGACATCTTGATTCGGGGCAGAGTGCAAATGACTGCATGCTTCCCCTGGGGTGGGGGTACTGTGGGATGTCCCTCTGCCTGCCTGCAGCCCTCATACCACCAGCACCAGACAGAGGGTCACCCTGGCTCTGAATGCTCTCTGCCACCTCCTCAGTTTCACCTTCTCCATGGAATCACACACAGAAACCAACTTTTTTCCCATCTCGTTTATGCATTTTAGCTCATTTTTAGATGTAATCTAAGCTCAAATGTAGATATTTTGGCAGCCAGCATGAAATATCTGGGAATGAATTTTCAGAGGTGTCAATCCCTCTAGCCTAAGGGAGATGTCCATGGGAGACATGAGACACTGATGTCTCCTCAAAAACAGTTCCTAAGCCTCTGAATCTGGACATTTGAAACACGCAATTCATGCATCTTTCTGAAATGCTTGCAATTTCTTGTTGAATCCAGTTAAAACTGGGCATTTTTAAGAATGTCTATGTGAATATTTCCCTGGAAGTATGACTAAAATTGATGGAAGATATTTTAACTCAAATCCATGGGGAGCTATTGATGGTAATAAAAAATATTGTGAGAAGAAAACAGCAGCAAGTGAAACTGCCCTCTCAGAAAGTCCAGGTCTGCTTTGAAGGAAGTGTTGATATTCACCATAAGCCTCAATCATTTCCCACAGGGCTGTATGGTGCCTTGTAATGACATAATCAAAAAGTAATGGTGTTCTGGACTTAAAGGACAAAAAAAAAAAAAAGCACAGCCTGATCATCTCCCATTGAAATCAAAGAGGATTTTGCTATTGACTTTAGCGAGAACAGAGCTCTGGACACAATCTGTGTGCAGTTTATTTGCACATTTGCTTATCCAAACGATCCTAACTTCAACCAATAGTATGTCTAGATGTCTGTTTGAGACTACATCTGTATGAATGTATAAGTGTGAGTTTGTAATGTGGTTTAATTCAAATTATTTTGGCATTTTAAAAGCATTTCCAGCTACAAAGGACAGCTTTAGTTGATTTGCACCCCAGAATATAGCCTTTGATTGGAAAAGCTTGTAACTCACATTTCAGGTTGCAATTCATATTCAGTTTCATGCAAGCTAATGACACAATCAGATTTTGCATTTCAATTAATTTTTAAACGATGTTATTATGCACTCAATTAAAATTTTGCAGCCATTATTTCGAAACGGGAAAAGCTCTACAAGTTACCCATCTCATCAGCCATAGTCCTTGGTTTTCTTGAAGGGAAATTTCTTTGACGACTACAACAAAACTGCAGAAAATGGCAAGTAAGATTGCCATCACGAGTCTGCTGAAAATGCAGGATGAACTCCTCACTGCCTTAGTCATGTGAACAACTCCTTCAGAACAGCCCGAAGTCAGGCAAGGTGGCTTACACCAGGAGTTAATTTAGCCTGCTGGGACTCTTTGCGTTACTAAAACAAGCATGGTTTTGGCTTGTAAATGGGGGGGAGAATTTTATTTCACTTTCTGAGGGTCAGAATTTTATTTCCCTTTCTAAGGGGCATACATACATTTTAGAGTAAACCTTTCAGAATAAAAGTTTACTTCTCATTATAGGAAATGACATTCTTTTTTTTTTTTAGATTTCCCTTTTCAAAGCATGCCTCAGATTTCTAACTTGTAGGGGAGAGCTTTGGTATAAGTAATAAAAGTCTTTAAAACTAAAAAGCTAATAGTAAACAAACCCAAATGCATGAAAGATATAGTCTGACTGCATAACAAAAGAGAATTATATAATTCTATTTGAGTGAAATCTTTCATCTTTGATTTACAGGTTTGAGTCTGCCTATAACTGAAACCATATTGTTCCATATCTTTCATATCATGGCCTTCCCCAAAATCTTGTTTTAATTAAGGTTCCTTTCAGATTTCAGAATAAAAAGCATGACAGTCTTCACTTATGGCTTTAATTTTTTTTTTTTTTGAATTTGGAAAATATATAAAAAATGAACATCACTTTCTTTTAAAGACTGAGCAAACTATCAAATACTGCAAGCTAATACTTCACAGTATCTTCTGGGGTTCATTAAGTGAGAAAGTTGTAAACAAAATAAAAGTTACTGTAGCAGAGTTTTGTTCATTTGAAGTACTCTTACATACATGCCCTATCTCTTTCTCTGACGGTAAGGCAACACGTGTAACAGTTTAAGCGTTCATTATCAGCTAAAGGCACAACTCTATGTAACGTTCTCAAACATGGAATTAAACAGCTGAAGTCACATTGCAGGGAGATCTTGCTGCACTTTGGGGATCTAAAATAAAGCCTAAACCCTTTGAAGCTTCTTAAGCAACATCAGTTCTCTTGGTGCAGGACTACATAAAAGAATCAGTTCATATTCACGTCACGACCTGTAAAAAACACCCCACACAACCTCCACAGAAACACCTGAGCTTCAAATGAGCTGCACGCGGTTACTGAAGATCGTTGCTTTGGAGTCAGAACGCAGAAACATTTCAGAACAAACTAAAAACACATTTGAAAAACTATCCATACTTGATCTCTGCTGCACATATGGTGAGCGCTACTGTCAACTACAGAGGGTACAGCACTTTTTTTTCAAGGCAGAAGATCGCTTGTTTTAGAGAATCGTGAATGTGTTTTTATGATAGAAAAGATTACATGAAATGGGGAGGGATGACCAGGAAGAGGGAAGAGAAAATAAAGCACCACCAAGCACACTACTTCGGGGGACTTATAGTACAAGAAGAAGTCCTCTCCCTTTATCTAAAATCCCTCATCATAATTTAAACACTTTTCACTTATTCAGCTAAGAATTCATTAGAGGAGATTAAAAATTGGCACGTAAAATAAGGGTGGGGATTTTTCTTCATGACACAGAGCAAAGAAAACAAATTCTATTAACAATTTAACACAGTATGAAAAAAATTACCCAGTAAAAAGTGTCAGAAAGTGATTCATGGAGTTCACAGAGTATGTTGCTGGCTGTTGCAATTCTCATATCTATGATCTATCATTTAGAATTTTGCAATACTCTATTTCACAATTTCTGTTGGTGAGTGGGTCAAACAGCATATAAAAAGCATGCTCTAGGCTCTTTCTCTCAAGCCCGTTTTTCTGCAACTCTAGAATTGTAGCAGTTACATTTAAGGAATCTTTTGGGCTCTTTCAAGTCCATCCAAAGAACAAGTGAAGCTGCTATTCAGAGTGTTGTGCCCAGTGTTTATGTTCCATCTGATCTGTGCCACCCAAGAAGCAGACAAGACATGTCTGAGGGTGCTTTGGGGGATACACAATGATGTCACCCACAGGAAATATCAGGGAGGACTTGGCACTTCACAAGGCTGGCTCTTCTTCCATGGGCTCACCAGCAGCTCTGTAAAAATAAACAGGCAATCAGAATACAGCACAAGAGTACACAATGACATTGTAGATTTTCATGCATAATCAAAGCTGATTTTTCAGCTCTCTCAGATGTTTATTTGTGTTATTCAGTTATCCATAAATAGAGTTTCTTTCCTAGGAAGTATAAACAAATGTCAAGTGGAAAAACATTTTAGATCCAAGCAATCACCAAAAATGTTCCTGTTTATATTAAAATATGTCAGAATATTTTATAACTTTTTGTCCAGAAACGTACATGCTTTGTGTCAATAGAATCAAATAATTTCATGAAAAAAATAGCTGTGATACTTTTTTTTACAAGCTTTTGCAACTAAAAATACATGCATTTATTTTTTCAAGTGGGCCCATACCATTAAAGCAAAATAGCTCACTAGTAACCAAGTAGTGAGCAGTGTTTCCTCTGAGGTTCTTCTCCAGTCTCCTAATTTTTGATTTTGTTCTTTCACAAATGCATTGCCTGCCGGCCTGCAACTTTTGAGACTAAATTCTGAACCTGATCAGCAGATAGCTACCATAGAGAATGTATCTATTATAATATAAAATCAGACTATATGTGTATATTTTACTTGAAAACTTCTGGGAAATATTCAGCTTGGGCAGGATGAGCTCTCTAAGACAACCAATAAAAAAATAATGAGGACACATATGATGACCTGGCGTAAAGTCTTGTAATTCCTTGTATCTGACAAACTGCTGCACCTGAGGAATATCATGGCAATTACAAAATGAAAAGCTTTTGAGATCACTGCAAGACCTCACTATTGAAGGGCAAAGAATTTGGACAGAAATCATTTTTCATATCAGTCTGTCAGAATACCATATGATACATGAGTTTAAGAACTCCTTTAAAATAATAACTTCAAGTAATTATGAAATGAGGGGAGAACAAAACGTAAATGTAAATTAATAAATGGAGTGTTTACCAGATAATCTTGTAAGCCAGTATAATAACTGAATTCATTAAAAAATCTCTCAGAAAGCACAAACACATGAGATCCCATGGAAAAGAAAAGTAATTAATGGCGGCTTGCTTGGGCTTTGATAGTTTATTCAGCAAGGAGACCAGAGAATTTTAAATGAATCTGGAATTTATTAAAGTCTTTCCCAATGAAAAAATCTGCAGTATGTCTTTAAATGATTTTATACAGCTTATTCCTTCATGATTTGGAATGATCACAGCTAGCATGTTGAAAAATATGTCAGGTGAATGATATATGAAAAAGAAGATGTTTTTCAGACTAATCACTTTCCAAAGGGTATTGAACCTAGAAGATTATTGATCTATAAATCTCAAATCTTTTGTTCCTCACCACACGGTGGAGAATGTTTCCTATGTACAGTAACCACTGCAGCTCCCTCATTCCTGAGAGGTGAGGTGAAGTCCTCTTGCATTCTCTCTTTTTACCCTCTTGCATTGTGCTGGCTTACAGCACAGACCACACAGTGGCAGCCAGGGCGGGATGGAGCCCAACCTGCTGCTGAGGTCCTCAGGTGTGACAAAGGATCACGCACCATGTGGGGAATTCATACTGATGGTGTATGTTGCCGTTGTGCTGATCACACACTCCACTTTCTCCAGCCACTTTTGGGAAACCTGAACATCCTCTGGCATAACACGGAAGTGCAATAAGCCCTTGTTAAACATCCAGAACCTTATGTCTGTCAGGAAAGAGGATAATTTGGAAGCAGGTGACAGCTCAGTTTTTAGGTTCTGCTGTGAGTAAGCGAATGAGAAGCAATAGTTGTTAATAGATTTCAATTGGAGATTGGCAGAGCAGGAAGGAGTGAAGCTCTGGGAAACCTCTAGAAGTGGGAATGGGAGTTTGGTCTATTTATAAGAACTTAGGGAATCAGTACATGCAACAGTCTGTTCACATGTACTTGGCTTCTGGGACTGACATTCTCTTGACCACAGTGCAACTGAGAGGATCTTATTCAGGGCTTTATTCTTGGGAAATTTTTCACTGACAAGGGTGCTTCTGAGTGCCAGGAAGCACTCAGACATCCAGTGCTATATTCCAATATATTCCAACAATAGGTCAATATTCTGCATCAACCAGAGTGAAAGCACCAATAAAGATTTTTATAAGCGAGTGGCAGGTGCAAGGTCCTTTTTGGAAAAGGAGAGGAGGTTAGAGTGCCCTGGCAATCCAGCTGTTGTCTCTCGGTGTGGGTACTCTCACAGCCTTCTTCAGTCTCCTTTTGAAGACTTATGTATATGCTTTAACTTCATTTTATTCATGTCAGAGAAGTCACTGATCTTTCCAATGGCTTATCATTAAAAACATGTATTTTTATGAGATAACAGCTTAGGCCAGAGTTTTATGTGAGAGCCAGCACAGTTTCAGGGCCCTCAGCATATAGAGAAAAACACTCTAAGTCCCATAGCACTGAGCAGTGAATCAATATATACCCATTCTGCCAAAATCAAAAGTTCTCAAAAGAAAAATCGAGGGGGCAGAGTCTGACAGGCCAAATTTATGTTACTTCAGCTTTGTCACTGTTAGTTACATCAATTCAGTGAGTCTTCCTGTAGCTGACAGGAAGTTGGCATAAAAACATAAAACAGGCAAACCCCCCTATCCTGTATTGTATGCTCTGACTGGTTCCTCGAGACGCAGCTGTGAGTTCAGGTCTGATCTGAACTAATTCCATGTGGTCAGTAGATTCAGAAATACAACAGCTGAGACTTTACTGATTGTAGAATCACAAGTGTGATTTTTTTCTAAGGCTTCACTGTGGCTCATTTAAACTGCAAGTCCCTAGGAGCTGAGCCCTCTTGATTTTGATGTGCTGGGAAGAGTGCTCACCTTTAGCTCTCTATATGTACAATTCTGACCATGGCAGAATGAAGTAGTCTCTTTGCAGTTAATGCTAAAGAAAATGACTCTGTTTAAACCTTAAAACAAGAGAAATAGATGAGGTAAAAATCCTACCATATGGATAAAATCTGGAAAAACATGTGACATCTTAAATATTGTTCTGTGGCAATTGAGAATAAATGTTATTTATGAGAATATTATTTAAAATACTTAATATCCACCATTTAAAAAGTTAATATTTAAGAATATAGATAAACTCAGAACATCATCCAAAAAAGTAAATGTTTCTCTTACCCTTTTTTTAAAATTAGAATTACAGAGATTCCTCTTAGCTACATCATCACACACATAAAACTAAAAATTCAAGGTATGTTTCCAAGTCACAGAAACTGCTGAACAAAAGATAGATTTTCTGGCACGGTATGGCTGTTTTATGCCATAATCTGTTCCTAATTTAACTCAGCTGTCTCTGGGAAGATCGTTGTAATTGAAAAGCGATCCTCTGGTAGCAGAGAGCTGGGAAAAAAGAGGTACACTTCTATACCATAGAGATGATTTGGAGAGCATATAAAGATATTATATAAGAGATTCTAGTAAAATTGGACTTAGTATGGATCAAAGAGAAAGGAACTAAAAGTAAAAACTATCTTAGCTTAAGAGCAGAATAAAGTAACTACACGTATACTCTCAAAAGAGGAAATAATGTCCAAATAAGGCAAATTAAATAAAATATAAACTCTGGCAAGTTAAATGTAAATCCTCAATGAAGCAGAACAAAGGAGAGTCTGAAGAGCAACATGTTAAAGGCACAAAAGTTAATAATAAAAAGATCTTTCAAAATACATCAGAAGAAATGATCAAAGCATAAAAGGAGCATCAAGGAAGGTAGACCACAAAAGCAAAATGAACTATTTATATCTGAGTTCACTAGAGAAGTGTCAGGGAGATTTTATTATTTGCAGATGAACTATCTTAAACTGAATCAGCACCAGAACAAACTGATATATCAAACATTGCCCAATTTCTAAGAGCAGATGATATTTGTCTGCTAAGTTCCAGGGGAACGTGATTAGGATGCTGTTAAAGAAATAGTCTTTGAGCATATTCTAAAGCTGAACTCAGCATCCGTGCAAAAGGTAGAGAAGGCAACAAATGCAGTTCCCCTTTTGGAAACTACAGGAGATACAGTAAGCCTGTATGGGGAAATTGAAAGTAGTGATAGGCATGTAGGTAACAGTAATTTGAGTTAGGTCTTAACACTTACAAAGATGGCAAGCCTTGCAAATTTATTAGAAGTTTATGAAGGAAATTAGGGAAGAGGGATCAAGTGACATCCCTGCACAAAGAAAGTCTTCCAACAATTTCATCCAAGTGCTCTGAGGAATCCAGCACACGAGAGAAGGTCCTCTTATAGATTAACAATCCATCAAAAGTAGGAAACAGCAAATAATTTTCATTATTCACCATGGAGGGATTCTACAGAGTATCTGAAAAAGACTAGGCTGACTACCAGTAGATTTAGGTGATAATGTTTGCTGATCATGACAAAGTGCCAATACTAGTCAGTTCTAAGGTCCATAACACCATTGCTGAGTGGAAAAGCTAAATAAACACAGAATACCCAAAACGGGGGAGGACAGCTTTAACTGTTTTAACAAGGACGGCTGCTACCGAGAGCTCAGAATTAAGGGTAGTGGAGCAGAGAGCAACAGAAACAAAAAATCCCCAATAAAAGCTACATTGTAAATCCTCAATGTGCCCAGCTCCAATGTGCATGCAACTCCTGCATGCAACTCTCACTTCCTCTCTTAAAGACTAAGAAAATTTTGCACAGAGAGGGGCAAAAATCATCAGAGGTGAGAAAATATTTTCATACCAGGAGGAATACAGAGTCTTGAGAAGCTGAAGCCTTTAAAACCAGAAATGGGCAAAGATTATAAGTAAAGCGCTGGTTTTCTTTCTCACAATACAAGAACTAGGGGTTCCCATGTGATTTTATTGGTTAATAAGTTTAGAGCAAAGAAAAAGAAGTACAATGCCTCATGAGGCTGTGGAATTCACTATCAAGTACCAAAGGTGTAAGCTGGTTAAAAAAAGTACTGAAAAGTTTATACCTGTGTATGTATCCTGCAGGCTTTTACAAAGGCTGGGTCAGACACAGCTGTTGAAATCTATCAACTCACCAGGGCAAGGCTGGCTCTCAATCTCCTCAACTCCTGGTTCTCTTCCTTATGCAACCACCACTGGAGGATGAGAGAAAGGTGGGCAAGATAAGGCTGCAGGCTGACCTGGGGAATGGCAGATCCTGTGGGGTATGGCCAGGTAGGTGCAGGTTACTTAGCACAGCTGAGGTAGATATCCAAATAATGAAATGCCAAGTGAAGCTTTATGAGTTGATATACAAATACAGTAAGTGTTCCTAAATGGTGGCTAGCTGTATCCCATGATTCAACCAGTTGCTCTAGCATATAATATAATGCAATGTGACTGAAACTGCAACTGGTAGCTCTGTAACATTAAGAGTAAAAATTACACTTTGTTTTAATTTCCATTTGAGTAAAATCTATGCTCAGCTGAATCAGAGCCATAAAGTCAAATTCTGATAAATGTCATTCTCAAGATTTACTGTTTCCTGTAAAAATAGTAAGTGCAAGAGATCTCCCTCCACACCCTTTTCTTTTTTCCATTTTAAGAAGAAACATCCAGAAGCTCCAATGTATCAGAGACAGCAGGGTACTGAGTATTTTCACAGCATGATTCTGAAACAGATGTCTGGCCAAAGCAAAATTCTAATCAGCTAAATCTGTATCTCACATAGGGAATAAACAGTTATCAACACACTAAAGTTTTGGTAGTTAGAAATGTTTTATAGAGCATGCCTGTTCCTTTAATTGCATCTGTATTTAAATCTGTGTTAGCATCATACATGTTTTCTTTCCTATCCACAAACCCTTTTTTCTATATCTGTTCTCTTCTGAAGTCTATAATCAAGATTCAACTGGACCTTAAAATGCAGAGTTGTGCTTTGGTAAAATAAAACACCAAAAGCATACCAGCTTTTCACGTTTTTCTTCATTTACCCCGCCAGAGAAAATCAAGTAAAAAAGTAATCAGCACTGTCACTTGAAGAAAAGGAAGAAGGAGAGAAGAAAGAAATAGAAATACTTAATATGGGCCTTAGCCAGGAGCATTTTATCCTTTATTCATCAGTGGTAAATGAGTCAGATATGAGTTGGCCAAGAAAAGAGCTCCTTTACCCAAAATCTGAGTTTAAAGTGAGTCATCTCACTCCAAACACCAATATATCCTCCAACAAAACTGGCAAGAGTTTCCCACAAAGAGACTCTAGCTGCTGCTCTCTTCATCTGGAGGCCTGACCATCTAGATCTGAAGTCAACAGGATCTTTACCATCAAATCAGTAAACAGGATTAGAGTTGCAGGCCAGAACTATCAGCCTGGCTGACCGTGGTGGGAATTAAGAGGAAGTAAATGGACTCCTGGTGTAATCAAGGAGCCCTTCAGGCCAACTTGTCAGCCACAGTGCTTTCTGCTCTCATCCCACCCTACCTGTCACAAACAACTTTCCCAAACAAACACTCAATGTAAAAGCTTGCAACGGGTCTTCAAAAGGTGACCCCCACAACAGTAGGGGGAAGGGCGCATCTAAGGTGGTCTTACCAAGAGGGCTTGAGACCCCACATGACTTCTCACATCCCTGCAGCCCTGTGTTTGCCATAGGAAGTGGATGGAGAAGAATTGCATACATAGTCCTTTATTACAACAAACATTAAAAAATGTGAAAAAGCAAGGTTGAACTCATCTCTACCTTACTGCAGTTTGTGTTGGTATGTGCCTATGAAATGCTTATATGAAATGAATGAAATCATACAGAACCAAAAAGTGTGCAATGTCACAGAATCAGTCCCTGGACATCCCATGATGGACTTTCATTCATTTTCAAAGTGCATCCAGGTCCTCTCAGGTCTCCCCACAGTTCAGACAACCCTCAGAATCAGACCCTTAGGGGGGCCATTTTTGATCCCATATTCTTCCTTATCTTCATCAGGAAGAAAACAAAGACAATGATGCCCAGAAGCCTCAGAAACCTAACTATCAATTTCGGTCCAAGGGGACAGCACTTTTGTTGTCCTGTCACTCTCTGATGGCAATCTGGCTTCATGTGACCTCTTTGTGGGTAACAAATGTGGAAGCAAACTTCAGAACACGTGTGCACGCAGGCTTTTTTTTGTGCTGCTGACAAATGTCTGCAGCACCACAGAAGATATTTCAAACGAAGCCATTTTTCCACAAAACAATTCATCACGATGGAATGGTCCCTATAAGAGTCCAGAACTGATGAAGTGTAATGAATCTGGCAGCCACATGAATTCCACTTGTGTACATTTCAGCGCATCTATTTTTTTCCATTTTTCTCAGCTCTGCCCTGAAATTCTGTTTTCAGAATGGGTGGAAACTGTCACAGGTTATCAGTTGGTAGGTAAAAAGTACAATAATTAAGTGCAGCATTAGCTAAAGGGTTATTTTGTTCAAATCACATAGGATCAGCAGTTGCTTTCAATAGCTGTAGTTTTAAGTGAGTGGAGGCACATAACAAACACAATTCTTGGTTATTCTCAGCAATGTAAAAACATACAGAATTAACCACACCCTTTTCCAAACAATTTAAAGCTTTGCTTTATTTGACTACATTAGTTCCAACACTTTAAGTAAAATTCTTTATATTTCAGAGCTATGCAACACAAATGTACCTTTCTGTCCCAAGGCAGCAGAAGTGTCTCATAACTGTTAGAAATTTATATGGAAACTCTTACATTATTCCTTAGCTGAGCACTGATTAGCACAGTCACAAATCTAAAATACATCTTGTGCTCATCATGGATTCCTCTCTAAGATTTTGTGAATTTGTTTGCAATAATACTAGCACAAGAATAGCTATAGAATATTAAAACTACAATTACAATTGGAAAGGTAATTATGAAAATACTGTGAACTTTACTAGCTAGCTCTTCTCCCTATGTCTCCCTTTGAGCTATGCCTCTCAACTAATTGACAGATGAGTGTTCCCACTGTTGTAAGAGATGTTCGCTCCCAAACACATCCATAGCTTTGAGCACTGCACTAGTCCCCTGGGTGCCTATCAGTTCAGTTCTGATTAAAAGATCCAACGTGGGAAGCAAGAACCGAAGCAAATAAGAAGAATTTATTTAAATAAGAAGCTGTCACAATGTAGGAGCCATGGACCCTTCTGGCTCCACTCCCACCACTGCTCTGCCTACCCACAGCTCCCTCCTTTCTCTCATCTTGCTACAGCTCTGCTCCATACCCCTCAGGGAGCCGATGAGTCTCCTTATAAGGCTTTTTTCATCTTTCCTCCTCCCTCCTGTTTTTTCTGTGTGATGGAAACTGAATGGTTCCACTACATTTTGGGTCTTTCTATACTGGTGAAGACCAGGAATGTTTGTCCTTAAAATGAAAAAATAGGAAATTCCAAGAACTTCTGCAGTGACTTTTCTGATTGTAGATGACACAGTATTCAGTGGCTATCCATTTTTCTTTTCATCTGTAATTGGCAAAAAACACAACAGCACTTACTGTACCATTTTCTCAATTTGGAAATTGAAAACAATCTTCATTAATGTAAAAAGCAGATGACAAGCCGGAAAAAACAGTGTTCTCATTCTTTGCCGGTCTACCTTCATCTTGGTACACAGAAAATGTTGGCCCTAATCCTTGTCAAGATTGGTTTAAGTTTTATACTGGCACTGTTCCACTGCTTCCAGGGAAGTAACTTTTAATGCCTGTCTAATATCATTTAATAATGATTTAAGTCCATTCTTATTAAATTCATCTGTGTTAAATGCCTTCCTAGAAAATTAAAACTAAAACAGATTTGAAAAGCTTCCAATGAGAAAAGAATATGGTTGATTACATTTGATCATGTCTATTTACCTCATATGGATATTGCACTTTTTATGTACCAGCGAGCATCAGACATGGGAAGAAAACAAGGTCCTTGTACTAATCATGAGCTTTAGTGAAGAAATAGACACACCAAAAAAAAAACCTTACCAAAACTGCTAGCACAGAATACCTCTGCTTCCAGAGGCCAAGTAAGAGCACTCAAATCCAGGTATGAAAAATTCCAGTATCTCAATCAGCAGATAATTTTGAAGCAAGCCTAGTCTATCTATTTCTTCATCTCACTTGGCTGGAGCAAAAGGCTTGTTCTCTCCAATGATTTCATACACTTACCTGCTGCCTTCCTGAGGGATACACTGCTCAACATCCACTGAAAGAGAGGCCATAGCAGATACTGTTTCTGTCTCCTCCCTCTCTTGTTGCTGAGACTCAGCCAGAGCACAATCCACTGGCACAGAGTATGGCTCCACTGACTTCCAGTACTTGCCTAAGAAAAACACACACAATAATTTATGGGAATTTTAGCTAGCATGGTGGTACAAGCACAGTAATCAGTTAGTTCAACACTGAGTGATTATAATTTAAAATCACTGTGGTGTAAGCAGTACAGTTGAAATTTCAGACTGCAGTGAAGACATATATTTCTGAACCTAGGAATGCCAAGTTGGAAAGTGCTTTCATTCCAAGGGCTGTGTCACACCCTTCCCCACAAGGTAATAAACTGAAGGAGTAACACACAGACTAATGAACACAGATTGTCAGGCAGGCTATTGCCTTTATCTACGCAAGGTGAAGAGAGTTCAGAGCAGGGCTAATAACTAGAAGCTCTGATAGGGCAGAAAGTTGATGCATATACAGCAAAATGTAGAAAAATGTACATTACTGTACAAAGTGCTCACACAGCACTGTCTTGAAAAGGAAAAAAGTCAGAAATGCCAGCTCGGACTGAAGTGGTGTTGCCAGAACAATCAGGTTTGTTAGTCCTGGATGTTCTTTCTCCTCCAACCTCAGGGCGTATACTAGAACAATAATTTATTTAAAACTTTCATATATGAACTGGCTGTTGCTGGAAAGCTGCCAGATATCACAAGGAATAGAGACTTCTGGTTCGCTGCGTAAAATTTGCCGTGTAAAAACACAGCGTTGGATTAAACACATGAATATTTTCAGCTTTCTGCCTGCAACAGAAGAAGGTCCTCAAGAGACACAAACAATAATGGCAGGTGACACATCCTCAACATATAAAATGGTCTGCTACTGCAGGGCTATTAAGAAATAGATTGATTATTGATAGCCGTATGAACAAGAGAGAATTTACATATATATTTCTTATAGTCCAGCAAAACACTGAGTGCTCTCTAATTGCCAGGTGGATGACACCTGGGAATTAGGAGCTTTGGGAAGTCTGGACCAGAGCTTACTCAGTGTTTAGCAAGAAGCTTTCAGCAGCTGCTGCAGAGGTTGGATCAGGGTACTTATCTGGGAATTAGACAGAGGGTTTCAACAGCTGTGAAAGAGTGGGGATCAAGTAGGGGACTTCTCCGAGGACTAAAAGGAGGATTTTGGCAGCTGGGCAGTGGGCCGAGCTGAGGTGCTTATCCAGAGGGTAGTTGGAGGCTTTGACAGCTGGGAGGCCAGGCCAGCAGTGGTGCTGCCTGTGCTGCACACAGGCTGCCGAAAACCACTTCTTTGGTAACACAGCTCTCAACACAGTTTCAGGCTTTTGGAAAGATGAACTTTTCCCTCCAGTGAGAAAGCAGCTGTCAATAAAGCCTGAAAATGTCTTTATTCAAAAACATCATTGCAAGATGAAAGCCCAAGTCAATCTTCAAGAACAACCAGTGAGCATGGCCAGAGTGTTTCTTTGAACTCTAATAGTGTGCACGTTTGAGTAGTTAGCAGAATCTTTAAATAACAGGGACCTTCTGGGGATAAAATGTAAAGTGTATTAAGTATCCTACAAAGTTGAGATTAAGTGTTAGGAGGTTGGCTTTGCTCCAAAAACATGAAAGACAGAGCTAAAAAGTTATGTGCATAACAGTAGGCTCAGTGATTGGAGCCTGGCAAATTTTATAAATACAAGACAAAAATATTCTCTATTATTACTGTGCTCAGAGACCATATTCTCTATTCATTAAAAAATACACTAAAAACAAACAAAAAAGTTATATGAGCATTCCACAATGTTCTCACAGATCATATGTGCAAAAGTCAGTCTTTGCAATATACACCCAATTCAAACCCTATAATTTATGAGCTAAATGTTCACAGAGTGGGTGGGGTTTTTGTTGCAGAAACAGATGTGCAAGAAAATCAAATCTGTTGGCATGGGAATAATACCCCCTCTTGCCTATAAAAGAAATGAACCCATGTTCACTGCTGGAGTTTTCAAGGGCTCTTATTCATAAAATAAAATATTAGTACCCAGCTACCACTGTGTTGCTCTCCTGCAGCAACAATAAAACAGCATCAGTGAGGACTGCTACATCACATTGGTTCATTCACACACAGGCTCACACACCAGCTGCCCCCTGAATCCTGACTTTCTTGTAACATTAAAACTCAGGGCCAATTCAAGCATATTAGTGGGCTCTCTATGCCCATTTAACTGCCCTTCACGCCCATGTGATTGGTGATTTTCCTTGTTTCCATGCATTGAGAATTATGAGAGGGGCTTCAGTGATAAAGAAAGAGAGTAAAGTCAGTCCAGGAGGCAGGTGGCAGCACCTATACTGCAGTGGAGGGTCCTGGAGAAAGGAAGTACGTGGCAGGGTGTTTGTGGTTTTGTGAGAGGAAATTTTAAAGCAGTCACAGTTAGGAATAGCATCCAGGTAGCTAGCAGGTACCTCATGCAAAGAGAGCTTTGTGATGCTTGTGAAAAAGCAACGAGAGGTTTTTCTTTAAAATCAGAAAACTCTACAAACACCTGGGGTAAGCAGAGCAGCTCTGCAAGCTACTTTTTATCTGGGACAACATTTATGTGTTGTACACAAAACCTACAGGCCTTGAATCCGTGTTCAGTTGAAAGATTTGGAGGCAAGGTGTTGTGGAATGGAGAGGCAATCACAGCATGCAGCTGCAAAGGAGCTTTGTTACAAGTTCTAGGTATGCTGTGGATTGACAATTAAATGAGCTCAAAAAGCATCTGCCTCAAATTGCTCACATCTCTGAAAATGCCATTTCTGCTGTTCTCTACTGGAATGTGAAATTCTACCGGTCCTGTTACATTCATTGAGAAGAACTTGGTGGAACTCAGGGGAAAGAATGAAGCATGCTGCTGGTTTCATTCATACAAAACATGAGCAATCACAGCTTGCAAGAAAAAAACAACGAAACCAAATCAGTCTTCTAGGTATGCTTTGGCTTTCAGCATGAAAATGTGCTTAAGTCTCCCTCAAAGATTTGTGGGAGCACTGATTATTACCAGGAAATAATAAAAGGGAATGTTTCTGTCACTGTTACAGGCATTTGTAATTGTCTTTCACAGATAGATTTGGACATGCCATACCATGGCTTGCTTGAAAAAAAAAGTGTTTGGGGGTAGTATGCAAGCTGGTGAACAGGATTGTTTAGAAATAGCATATTACATGGGTGTGGGAACTGCTACTTCCAAATGTATTAAATTTCCAAAGGATCTCTGGATCACTGTCACATACCAAACATTTATACAAATTCTATTTTAGTTAGAAAAAAGTTGTTTCTTATTTTCTAAGTATTGTAGCTTCAAGTTTTTGCAAAAAGCACAGAGGAGGGACTTATTTGCTCTAAAATATTGCTAACATTCATTATGAAAGTTGGATCACAGAAAAACAAATCCAATATACATGCAAACAAAGATCCAAACAAATCAGGTTTTCTCAGTATGTCTTGAGGTGCTATTTCACAGCCTAATGCTCTCCAGCCTGCATAACTCCCCATAATATTCCACACACACTTGCTTCTCTTAGTTAGATCTAAATATGAATAATCCATAAAGCCGCACTGAACTTCCTCAGTGCTCCTTTCTGTCATCCAAGCATATTCCTTTCTAATACTTGGTCTCTCCCCAGACAAAATGACGTATACATAACTTTTTAGGTAATATCTGCAAGAAAAGGCAGAATATTGAGTATGAATAGCTCCAAACCCCGAGCAGCATGACTTAGGTTTCCGAAGAACAGCCCACCGGACTGCAAGACTGTACTGGTTCAGCTCAAACCTAAGTGTGGCAAAATTAAGTCACTCTGCAGAGCTCTGGACTATGTTTTCAGACTTACACTATATATTTGTTCCTAATCCACTCCTTCTTTCTCAATTGCCATCATTTGTGTGTATTTCTAGTAAAGACACCATGCCTTTCTAGAGCCCTTTTTTTGTTTGTTTCTCAATTCACCCTTTTTTGGTTTCAGATCCATTTTTTGTTAAATACGTCTTATTTCAAACAGAATTGCATCTTTCCTCATGTGGCCTGTGTGCAGCATTCTGTCCTTACTATAATTTGAAAATCTTTTCTATCTTGCACAGTACATGAGTCTCCTTAACTTGCTGACTCCTTCCAGATCATTAACAGATTACTAACAGGGAATTTTAACTCATGAGATATCCTAGGACATACCACTCAGTAAAAAGGATTTACTGGAATGTATCATATAAAGCTGATTTAGTTAGAGCATTTGCATATATAGGTATCTACTGGATATGAAGGATGAATTATATGCCTACAATGAATTTTGTCACTTTACAATTCAAATCAGATTGAAAACCACTGCATGGTCAGTGGATAATGCATGGTGTCCCTTTTAAAAACTGCATTTATTTTATGTAGATGAATCCCAATTATTTGTGATTCATCTAACACAAAGAAAAATATTTGTTATCCATTTGTTATTGTTAAGGAGCCAGCAAACATTAGAAGTCAGGAAGTTCCCACTGCCTCGGTAAAATGGCAGAGAACAGAAGGTGAGAGAACTTAAGGAAGTGTGCTCAGTTGGATTAAAGCAACTGATGGCATAGAGAAAGTTTTTCAGTAAGCAAATGCCCTGAAGCATCTGGGTAGTAAAGGATTAGGGTCAGGGCACAAAAGTGAAGCTATAACGTACCCTCTGCACCAGAAACAGAATAATGTATTTTTCAGTATTGTTGCACGGATCAGAGCCCATGTTGAGTTTTTTAGCTTTATCTCAAGCTCCTATGCATCTCAAAGTGAATACCTTGTAAAGAGCAGCACAAACAGAATCTGAAGAAACTATTTGTTAGAACTCTAGTTTACCTGTCTGTTCCTGTCCCTCACTGACAAGCATCTATTTCATTCAAGCTGCACTGGAATGAAAAGATTTGGGAATATTCAGGAATTGTAAATCTCTAAATAATTTTAGTGTGTTAGTTTTTTAAGGCTAAATACATAGCAGAAATAAAGAGATGTCAAAGAAACAAAAATAAAAGCATAGCTATACATACATTAGACACAGCATGTCAGTTAATACATAAAACATTTGCCCACTTTTTTTCTCTGAAACAATAATGTCTATGACATTAATTAATAATCAAAAATTAATCCAAACCCACTAACCCACCAACTCAAACTGAGAAACATACTTTGAATTTCAGTGGTCTTTTTTAAAGAAGCTATTGCATTCATATTGGGGATTTGGTGAACAACATCTTCCGGGAGAGGCTCCAGCTGAAAGAATAGAATAGAATAATATAAATATTCAATAAGCCACAGAGACATAAAACAAACTGAAACAACCTAATCCTCAGGAAAAACTCAGCCCAAGAACTGGTTAACATTTTGCTGATATCAGTTCTAAATGTATAGCCATGATTTTGTTTTCTGTTTTCCAGCCATGTAATTGAATTCCAAGGGGCTTTTCTATTGGCTGCAAGACTAATCTACAGAGTCTCTGAAGCAGGTGCATGTCTGTGTATTATTCATTAAAAAAATGCTAGTTATTTGTGTAATTTTTGTAGGTTCCTCACAAACCAAATTCCACTGCGTCTGTATACGCAGCTGGGCACTCCAAACAAAACCTTGCTGAAGCCGCACTGGAACCAAAGTGTGCACTCTATTATCTTTATTTTTCTGGTGTTATTACATCTAACCATCTTACACATTTTAAGGTTTATAGGGTAAAACCATAAAAACAGCTGCTTTTACTAACTTTACATTAATTTCAAATAAATCAGTAGATAAAGGGTTATGCAGATCAACAGTAAGAGTTCTCTAAGTAGATTTTTTATAGAATCAGCTGCATTTTAATTAGCCAGTTTTAATTGTATATTCTTTGAGTAGGGCTGCATTAGCACAAAGTGTTCAGCTACTGCACAGTTATTTTTGTCTTGAAATGGACAGATATACCAAGCAAACTGTATTTTGACATTCACTCACATGAGATTTTTTTATCCACCTTCCACACATTTTCTCCTAGAAAAAGATTAAAAAATTCTTTGGGCTAAATGTTTCTTCTTTCACTCTAATAACTATATTCTCCTTGAACTATGCTTAGAGTCCAGCCACTTTTTCTGCTTCCCCACATAGGCTGCCATGGCTGGGTGTGCAGCCATGCTTCCTGAGGAGTAGCAACTGTGTCAAGGTGGACCAAAAAGAGCGTTATCAATACCAATCTCTCCTCTCTAAAGCTAAGAAAGTTCAACCACCGTTGACAGGAGACATCTGTACTGCAGACAAAACTCCTTTCTTAAGCATGCCTGGGTCTATTTTAAACTAGGTCAAGTTAAGCCCACCCAAGGAGCTTCCTCTGTGAAGTTAATAGTTCAGTAGCCATCATATATTGTCCTTCAGGTTGCTACTGCTGCATTGCTACTCACCAACAAGATAAAATCAACTTTGATCCAAGTAAACAAAGTGGAAAGTAACTGTAGTGTGGATACTCCCTTACTGGTGCTATTTTAAGCAAGCTCAGCTACAAATCCCAGAACTTCTGGGATCCTGCTGTTACAATCAGCAGTGAATGCCTGTCAGCAATAAAGACATTGCAAATATCACCAGTCTTTTGGAGTCTTGGTAACTAAAATGAACAGGGCTGTTCATGTCATTATTGCCTTAGAAGCCCATATGGCATTGCAGCTGGCAGATTTTCTTATGGCTAGAAACAATAGCACTATGTTTTGTTTTCAAATAGCATAAATTACTCCATTCTGCACAGTGAACAAGTGTGCAGAGAAGTGCTGGTTGGACCTGACTGGGTCCCAGCTCTACTTCGTTACCAAAGAGGCCAACTTGAAAAAGAATATTGTTGGTATCTAATATGCATTGTGGATTAGAACAAAGACAGCAATTACAATACAAATAATCATTACAGATACATTTGCAATACTTGAACCACATTTACTTTATGATCTTCATAGGTTACTCTATTTGATAACTCTTGCAGGTGCCCATGGGGAAACTCTGTATCTACAAAAATGCCCACCAACAGATCAGGCTTCATAGATTTTAAACCAATGGCCTATATCTTGAGTTATGCAGATAAACAGCATTTGCTTTATCACTAGTCATTTTCTGTTTAAAGTAATCTATCATTTGTCCAGGAAGAGTACAAAACTGAAGGTCTGATTGGTCGTGTTGGGTACAGGAACACATAAGGGGAAGCAAACAGTAGTTTAAGGTCCTGTTTTGACAATTTCCTAATTCCTAAGGCTTTGATGACCAATTCACTTCCCTGAAACAGAACAAAACAGCTCCAAGCTATAGCAGTAGGAATAATAGTAAAAGTTATGGAATTGCCAGACTGCAATATGTGATAGCTGTGTCTTGCTTTTCCCTTTCAATACCTCGAGATTCCTTATGCAGACCTTTTGTACTAAGTATTAAGCTGGGAACAACTGATGCAGAGACAGTTAGAGGAGATTTTCTGGTAAAAGGTGGATATTTTGTTGCCCTCTTTAGAGCAAACAAACAAAAAAAAGGTTTGATTTTTCTTAATCTATAAAACTCATCTCTTTATTTGTCAGTATAGAAATAATTTTTTTAACAAGTAAGCTGCATTTGAATATCTAGACATATCAAGTGAATATTTAGAAATGGCAGGTGGGTTTTTAGAAATCAGCATAAGCTGATGGATTCTTAAAGAAAGAGTAAAACATTCAACACTTCTTCCAATCATTACCCCATCTGTTAGCTCTACTAACAGATTTGCAGGTGATGTGAGTATAATGGTTATGCTTGATCATTTCCTCAACTCTTTTTTCCACAAAAATTTCATTTTGTATATCAAGCTCGGCTGAAGCAGATTTCTGAGCTATTCTGTCTCCTCACCCTTAAGGATAGCCTGACAGACCTTAGACCCTCTTTCATATCAGGGCAACTTTATCAGGCTCCACAAGAAAGTTCATTACATCATATACCCTGCTCAGCCCAAAATGCAGTACCGTTACAAAAACACTGCAGAAATAAAGACAGTGGGTTATGGCAGCTATTTCTATACACTTTGAAATGAGACTGTCTGCATTCAAAAGAATGATTTCTGTTGGCAGTTATCCACTGGTTGGATACAACTGTATAGACGTAGAGGTGTCCCTGGAAAATATCAGCAGTTAGACCCAACACTGAACAAAAGAAATCACTCTACATCTGGCATATATGGCAGCATCACCTTCCCTCCTACTCTTACTGCCATTCAGACCATGAAGTGTATTAAATCTGGAGGCCAATAGGAAGAAAGCTGAAAAGCGCACTGGAAATACACCATCACGAAAGAAATCTTTCAGAGAAGAACAGTTCAACTCTGCAGAAATAACCAAACCACTGTACAGGCAGTTTAGACCAGTCACAAAGGGTCACATTTCCAAAGCTTATACGTGGCTGAATTGGGCTTTTGTGCCCAAAGTAGCAGATGAAAGTAGAAACTGTGCCAACTAATCATTTTCAAAAGAGGAAAAACAATGTAAACAGGCAAAAATCACTTGGGCTGCCTAAATCTACCAGAGGCATATCAACAAGTGTTTGAAGAAGGAATTAATGATGGAAATTTTATGTGCCCAGAAAGGGATCTGAATTGATCCTGGGGAACGCAGAGAGAATTTGAAACTACAGCAGTCTGTACTGAGCTGAAAATTCTAGCAATATCCACACGGTCCTTAGCAATGTCATGTTTTAAAGCACCAAGATTAGCTTCAGTGAAGATTGTTGCAGCTAGAGATTACTGACAAATGAGGCAAGTGCAAGCATAAGGTAAGAAGTATGGAAAGTCCTGCAAGAAGCAGAGAAAGGGGAGAAGGCAGACAGGCTCCTCAGGGATGTCAGGGCTGCAGGGGGAAGCACTACAACCACCCTCTTCTGGTTACACTGTGTAAAAAGCATATCAGAATATCAGCACAAAGACTGAGCTTTGCTGCTCCTAAAGTTGGCTATGATTACAGAGGACTAATTTAAAAGATCTCACAGGTCCTCCATATTATGTGTTCTTGTATAAGCAATCTTCTCAAAGTTACTGCACTCTCTGATTACACATAAAACATTTCAGGCAGGTATTTTTGTGATCCACTGCTATAATGCAGTATATAAACAAAACACATTTCAGCAGGGAGTAAGTTCAAAAATACAACGGGTCATTAGTACCTATTGGTCCCTGAAAAACAAGTGATGCCTTGGCATTATGTAACTTTGGAATCAGAATATTCTGTTTCCTCAGCCAAACCACTCACTGACTAGCACTGCCCACCTTGGGAACTTTGATGTCACCATGTTGACCTCTGGCACATACATTGCTCCAGTTTCCTATCCCGTCTAGATCTTTCTTTCTAGACTCTGGGTTTGTGCGAGCAGCAGTTGACAGTTGCATCAGACTCAGTTTTAATTATTTTCTACTATTAGACTCAGATTAACAATGAGGATGTGAGATTGTGAGAAAGTTTATCATGCAATTTAAAATTGATCTCAGATCATATTCACTTCCGTGAATACTTCCATTTTGAAGAGAGGAATGCTTACCTGTTCTGGTAAATAACCCCTTTGAATGAAGACCAGGACCTCTTGGCAGAGCTCACTGCCTAGCTGGCAAGCAGCCCCAGATTCACACTGAATTCCACAAAGAAGAAAACGCTAACTTTTCATCAGCAGCAGGAAAGCTGCAGAGTACGAGCTTTCCCATTAAATTACCATCCCCTCCTAAATGCCAGCTCAACAGATTGCAAGAAAGAAGCACATACTTCACACTCTGCAAGAAAATTGTCCGGTGTAAGTTTTCAAGCACGCTTGGGAGCCAACCAATCAGAATGTTTTGTCAAATTGTGCTTCAGACTGAAATTCAAGCCAGAAGAATATTTACTAGAAGATGTTAAATTTAGTCACTTAAAAATGTTTTCACACTCAGGGCCAAATTCAGCGTTGGCCGCCACAGTCAATGAGAACAGACATGCATCCTCTCTGCGCCTTTGTTGCAGGGTCCCGCTGGGCAGAGCACACTGTGGACTGCACTTCTCTGCTTCCTCTGTGCAAAGAAGAGCATGACCCCGCCTGCGACTAATTATCACTTGTTATAGACCACAGCAAACTGCTGTACGACAGAGAGCTAAGAGACACTGCCCAAACCCAGAGACAGATCAGAGGGACCATGATGCTAGACTGACTTCTGTGTCCCATGGAATTATCACACCTGGCTACTTGAAAAGGGATGAGATGAAAGAAGAGCTAAATCCTTAGTTTTTGACACAAAGAGTTTTGTGTTTGAAGAAATCCTTCCTTACTCTTTCCGGCTGCAGAAAAGCCCCTACCTGAATGCAGTTATGTTGGAAATAAGATGCAGGATTTAGCATACTGATCTCAAGAAAAACTTGTGCCCAAGGACTTTTTAGATCCAAATAATGACTCTTCAAAAGTAATGTGGAGGAAAGAAAGTAGAACCTACCCTTGCATGTCTAGAGAAGCCTCACTCACCACCACCTGGCACCAAAAGTCATAGCAGAGGTCTTATAGCACTAAAGCTAGGATCAACAAAATAGTGTGGAACTTCCATACTCTGTGACAAAGATTTTGGGGGAAAATCTCAATATTCAACCTAATTTTCACAAACTTCTTGGAATAAAATGCAAATCTTAAAATTTGATGGTTTTCTTAATTGAAGTAATATGTATACCTATATACACTTTAAAATGAGTATTTAAAACTATATAACCAATCTCTGAAAAACTGTAGATAAATGAAATAATTAATTTTAAGCTTATATATTATAATCTCAGAAATGCTTATGTTTAAAAGCAATGTCTTTTTTGCAATTATCCGAATCTATCTTTTCCTTTGTTTTGACAGATGCTCTTTTAACGGACAAGTTCGCAAATCATGTTGAGAAAATTCAGGACTATTTTAAGGCAACTGATGCTCATCTTGCCTTTTCACCTTCCAGAAGGTTTTCCATGTTTACATTTTGGATTTCAAGGGAATCCAACTGCTTAATCTCTTCTCACCTCTTAGGAAGATTTCCTTCCAAGGAGATAACCTACAGTGCTCCTAATCAGCTCTGCAAATGGTCAAATGGGTTTTTCTTGAAGTGACATGGAAATTTCCTGCTTGTAGACAGAAGTATGGAGAGAAAACCCTAAGATATCAAAATATTTTAAAAGCAATTTTATATGTAAACTTTCTAGTTAATAATTTATCTTTATAAAATTTATCCTTAATTTTAATTCTATAATTTCCTTTTTAATTTGCTCATTATTTAGGGAGGGAATCACACAACCAAACTAGATAGAGCCATTTCAGGTACTATAGGGTGCCTTGCCTGCTTTCCAGCCGCTGATCAGAAAGGGTGTGGATCTCTTCTAAGTCCTACGTTAATTCTACCAGTCCTTTCATGCTCCAATTATTTAAAGAAGATTAATTTGATAGGGCATTCTTTTCATAGTGTCTTCACTCACATTTTTTAAGAGAAGATTGAGAAGTTGTCTTGCTAAAAAAATCACTTATTTATATAAGCCATATATAAATAAGAACAAAATTTATGTATTTTGGATGTCAAACTGTTTTCCTTCTTGGTGCTCAGAGAGAAATTAAGAAAGCATTTTGCACTTGCAAATTTGATATTACCTCTATATATCAGACCAGTGCTCCATGAAAGTTGGAAGTTGTGGCTGGCTTTACCATTTTTTTAAAAAATGTTATTCTACTGGTAATAGAACATATGACACAGTGAATTTTTGTATTGACAAGTCCTGGCCAAAACCAACAAAACAAAAGAAAAAGTTTTCAAAAAGCTCTGCAAAATGTTTATGAATTCTAATCCTCAGCACATGAATAAATACATCTGACAAACTGCAGGGTACCTCACAAAGCCTTTCCCAACCTTTCTAATTTGAGTTCAACTATATGTGTAGTGTTTAGAACTGAAGTTCATCTTGCCAATGTTTTTAAACTAGGGTTCCACTGTTTGTAAAAGTGGAAGGCAGATAATAACTTCTAATTATCCTATTAATCACCTGTAAAGAATTGCATTCAGGGAAGAATGCATCCACAAATTACAGTAATTGGTTGTTTAAAGAAAAAAAGTTTTTTTCTGTCCTGGGCAGAACATGCTTGGAATTTGCTCTGCAAGTTCATTAATAGTATGCTGAAATCAAGCAATGTATATGCTGTGGGCCACGTGGTGTATATTGCCATAAATCTATAGATGTCAGCAGATGTGCTGATTTCTAACTGCTAACTAGGTATCAGAATTCCTCATTAATGTCTGCTCCTCAGCAACACCTTTACTTATTCTTTTACGCCAATGACAGTTTCTTATGGTAGTCTTGGTAACAACATCCTCTCTGGAGTACTTTTCTCTCCTTAGCAGCCACAGCGTATTGTGTCTTTGAAATTATGCTGCACCAGACCATTTGATGCATGTCCCACAAGAAAATGCTGTAAGAGCACATCAGAATAATGCTTATTCCACGAGATGTCTCAAGTTATTATGGATCATGTTCTTTTACAAGTGAATGAAAAATGGCTGCATGGTTATTTCTGTCTTCATTCTCAGTTAGTGAATTTTTGTCTCTCCCGAAATTTACTTTGTTATATTTTGCAAACAGATAGACTTACAATTTATCTAATTTCCTGGTCTGTAATTACTCTAAAATGGAAGAAAATCTTTATTCCAGTACTCTTATCCAATTCCTTTTTCTCACAATCACTATTTTTTATTGGATAATGTCGGTGACAGCAGAAATAGTTGAGTGTGATATAGTGTTAAAACAAAATAAGGCAGTTTTCACAAATGGGTAGCACCACCAAATGGTCATAACTAGATAGAGGGACCCAGGCACCTACACACAGGAGGACACATCACATCATCAGTATCGTACCATTCGCATTAGCCCCACAAGGGTGCAAATTTCAAGGAATGAGTTTAGAAGGGCTATGAAAAGCCACTGATGTCATAAGTTACTCTCCTAGGGAAGATGACAATGGAAATATCAATAAGAGTGCCCTGGAATGGCAGCTGACCAGGAAGACAATACTGCATTAACTAAGATTGTCAAATGCCTCAAGCTGGGTTGCATAATCCATATTTCAGCATCTAAATAAAAGGACTAATATTGAGCTGAGCAGCTTTTTCAGTAGCACATAGCACTTTCCTTGTGGAGCTTGTCAAAGGTGACAGTAGATAAAACCCGACGAAAGCTTTTTTCCTCCTTTTTTTTTTTTGGTGTCTACATTTCTGAGACTATCTTTGGAAAAGCTAACACTTTAGTCATTGCACGTATAATGTAAAAAATAATAAAATATTATTAATATTGTTATTAATATTACAATATTAAAATATTGTTATTGATGTGTCATAAATATGAAAAGCAAAGGTTGAAAAGAACACTAAGAAAATCTTTCTATTCAACACCCATCAGAAGACATACTATTTCACCTTATTCACATAGGTATGAAGTTTTGAACTTGAAGGGAACTGGCAGACTAGGTTGCAATTTGGCACTAATACATTTCATTGGATGGATTATATAGCTATTAACACTTCCCCAGAGGGGAAAAAAAAAGTAACACACTATACTTTATAATAAGATCTTGCAAAATTCACAATTTATGGTAAAGGCTTTTGTCCCTTCATAAATTATTTTGGCTGCACCTTCAGCAAGTTTGTTTTTGTTCTCACCATATCTATAGGAGAAAAGCTATTTTCTAGTGGAAAGCAGAAAAAAATTCACTAATACGAACGCTTATCTTGCATTTGTGTACATAAATGGCACATACTCATGTTTACTTAGTCTTATAGTCTCCTCTCAGAAGTTGTTAAATAACATATACAGTGCTTGAAAAATCTTGGAAACTTCATTTAAATTAGACAGATCAACCTGAATCTTCACTTTTAAGTTATTATTTTTTTTTTAATCTTGGACACATTTTTATTAATGTTTCAGAAGTTAGGTGTCAAAATACTGCAAAAAATGTGCCTTTGCAATATCCAATTCCTAAGATTACCAGATACTTTGCAAAAGGCTTTTTTTTTCCACAATAGATAGCTGAAAGGTCCATTCCTAATAGATAATATGCACACCAATGACTAACAATGATGTCAAGTCTTGTATTCAGCACATCACTAAAAGCATTTTGGAGGTATTAAATATTACTCAGAACTGGGAATAATTTAGGCATATACTAAAGTATTTGTATAACAATCTAATTTAGAGGTATTTATCCAAACCAGCTCATTTGAGGTCTGCTCATTTCTTAGACATGTTCAAATTCCATGGTTTTTATACCAAATGAAAAAAAGACTGACACCATTGTTACTAAAAGAATATCAAAGCAGCTTCAGAAAACTTGGATCATTCTCTCCACCTAGTATGATTTATGTTTTACCTCATTTCCTAAAAGGGCGTTTATACAGGCTTCAGATGCATCACAGATGGCAGTAAGGTCATGTCCTCCCTCCAGTGCCAGCACAACACGGCCATCCGCTAACTTCAGCAATTGCTTGGTTAGGTGACCAAAACCTAGTATTCAAATACAGTAGTGCAAATAATTAAAGTAGAACAGATATTACACGTATATTTCACATCTGGTGCATGAGAACATAGAAGGCTCTCAAATATTGTACAGGGAGCATACGATTTACTTGGTCCAGTATCCTGTTTCTGACCATGGCCCACACCAGATGGTTTGGAGGCAAATGTGCGATAATGTCGCTCATGCTGATTCCTCATTGCTGCAGATTAGTTGAAACATGCGGTTGTCTCTTCTTACCTTCGTTAACCTTTATCACCCTGGATTCTCTTGCTATTTGCATATGTGTGATATATACCCATGTCATTTAGAGAGATCTGATATAACTCTGGTCACTTATCATCGATAGGACAAATTATATTTGTAGTTCAACTATAGTGCTATAATTAAAAATAATTAAATGAGATGATGAAGTATTTTTTTTATTTACAAATTGCTTCTTCCTTTGTATTTGGGGTTTCAGAATAATATAAAATCATGGACTGAAAGACAGTGGAAACATATGTTACCTTTTAGCTCCATCTTGAAGTGTTTTTGGAAGCAGCACTAACAACTAGATCACTTATTTTGATTCGAGGTTTTGGTGTAAGCTGAAACTGTCCAGAACTTTGTAGCTATCTCTACCAGTATTCCTCATTCCTGACCAACAGTGTTCTAAGAAACTCTGCACCATAGCCAAAAATGATAGTACTTCATTTTCTGTGGTGATCTATAACTACACAAACACTACCACAATGTTTTCATCTGTGATTCAAGTAAAATTAATTTATTACATTTTTAATGACAAGAAAAATTGCATGAAATATGTCAATTTGGAGTGAAGATTTTTTAAAGAATTTTTGTGGTAGTTTCCTAGGACAACTATTGTTTTTGTTTAATCTCTTTCAAGAAAGTAATGATAAATAAAGCTTTGAAGCTATTGACGTTAAACATCACGTCTTGTTCTTAACTTTTCCACTTAGTCTGTACTAGTTGCTCTACTGATGGTCATCCCCACTCATTCCAGTGCATTTCATACCCTTATATAAAGCACTTAGAAGGTAGCTGCTAAAGCCTGGGCTTCTATAAAGAAGGAAAATCCACATCATTTTACTACGTTCCAGTGAAGAAGGCCATTGAAAATTAAAAACTTTAAAAATTACAAGCATATTTTCCAGCAAATTTTCCAAGACACAGATTTAAGGTTTGATCTGACAAACAAGCAATCTCATGTTTAATTTAGTTTACATTTTAGGACTTTGTTAAGCATATGTCCAACTGTTTTTAGAATAGGGACTTTAGTGATACCAGATTTGGATTATCTGTGCAGACAAAAAAACCCAAACCAACACAACCTCCTCTACTTGCCACTTCATCTATAGATGATCACAGAACACTTGAGGTGAAATATTGTTTCCTTGAGCCACTGCACAATCTTCTATACCCTGTAAGTACTGCAGTCTTGATTCTAGCAAAGTAACTACACTGTGGTTTAAAGTACATAAAGGGTTGAAAAACAAATAAAACCTTAAACTCTCATTTAAACTCAACCTTTCCTCATGAAACAAAAAAAAAAAAAACCAACCAAAACCAAAAAAACACCCACCCAATCCTCTCTACAAAAACCCAAATTTAGACAGGATAATAAAAGTGAAGGAAGGAGTGGAATGAGGATAACCTTTGATCTTTAGCCAACTTTTAGTTTCTTTTACCTATAGGATTTATTTCTGTCTGCATGTTACACATGAGATCTGTGGGTTCATAAGAAGAGAGTGCCAAGAGTGCAAAGCGAGTCGTAGATACAGCATTTAAAGGAAATGAAGAAGAATGAACAGGCACAGGCTTCCCACATCTGTAACTCACTCTTTGGGTCTGTGAGGAATCCAACACCACTTTTAAGACAACATTATCCTTTGTGTTATAGAGATTCTATGAAGGGAAAGCTCTATCATGTTTCCTCTGCACATTTTGAAATTTTTTATGATGGTAAATATTGCTACCACCACATTGTAATCTTCTGAGGTATGTGTGGCAATAAATGTAAAGACTCTTGCTATGCCTTTTTCTCCTTTTAGACAACCACACATAACGTAACTCATAGACATTGTTACAATATTAGCTTATCTACTTGGTTTCCTAATGTTTTTCCTAGTATCAATGCTATAATAATCATCCCTGACTGAATCAGGATGCAATGAGCCATACAGAAAACATCTTTCCTAATAGAGATCACGGTAACAAGAAAAATGTTTCCAAGACAAATTAAGATGATGGGGCCTTTCTTCAGTGTATTTACCCAGAGAAAGTAAAGGTGACTTGCTAGAAAGTGAGGAAATAACTTTAGCCAACGGTACCAACATTGCAGGTGACTGAATGAGTTATGGAAATTCTTAATAGAGAAACTTGGATCTTGTGTCACTGCAGCAACCTATGAAAGAGAATAAGTTTCTCAAGGAAATCCCCTGGAGTGTAGAAGTAAGAAAATGGAAAGAAAGGAATCTCAGTCAAATAATAGTTTTAAGATGGGCTGTAGTTCATGCCAAATAATTAAGGAAAACAAGAAGAAAATAGTAACAAGCACCATTAAAAGAATCCATTATCTCCCCTGATATAAGGAGATCAAGCACTGGCCAACTATAAGGTGAGAAAGGAGTCAGACAAGCATTTTGAGTCCTGGATCTTTCAACTCACATGAATTTCTAGAAATCAGCAGCAGTTCTTGGCACTTCTACTGTGCCTGCTGAAATCTTCTTGTAAATGTGCTCAGTGACTTTGTACTTCAGAGAAGTAGCAGCATTTTTTAAAATTAGGCTCATGCAGTGTGACAGGAAATTGTGAGAATGGTTTTATGCCAACTATTATTTTCATAATTTCTGTAATTTAAAAGTACCTGTTTCCTTCACAGATCCCATATTTAGATATTCAGGGTATAACTTTGCAAAAGCACTTAACATTCATTTGCCATGATCTTATTAAATATTATGATTAACCTTTGATTTCCACAAGAAACAGCATTAAAACACTACTAAGTAATTCTGAAATTCCCACTCACCAACTGTTTTATATATTTTGGACAAAAAACCTGTGGGTGCACAATTGTACATTCAAGCAAAGACTAGATTAAAACTGTAACCATTTCAAATATGTTATGCACCAGAGACATAAATAACAGTATATGACCTCTTATTTGCCCTCTATAAACTTTCAAAACAAAAGTAACATGCAATTTTTAATTATACCCTTTCTCCTCTTCCAGTGCTATTATTGGAGGAGATACAACATTCAGACTTATATAAGAAAATATTCTATTGCAGAAAGGCAGGAAGAGAGAAAATGAATATTGCATTATACTACTGAGCAAGCTGTCAGGCTGTTACTGAAGGACACAGTGTGCTAATCACTTGAATTACCATCTAAGCAAGTCATTCATCTTTTAGTGGACTGATGCCCCAGTAAGGACTCTGGGGTTTTTTGTTGTTTATAACAGACAAGGTCCCCTCACACTCGTAGTTCTGCCAAGCAGCAAGGAATGGCAAGGGTGAGGCTTCTGCCTCATTTGACCAAAGTCACTGGAGCAACTGTACTCTACCTGTTCTTACTGAAAACCAAGAAAAAAATGTTTAACCCTATAAAAAGATAATCCAGAGTTATTCCAGTTTTCATTTGTTGTTTTTGAGGTACCTGAAATGGAAAGGGGGAAACAGAAGGCAGGTAAAACACCTCTTATCTGGGTCAGTTCCTCTCCAACAGACTCATTACACAACCGTGTGTTGTGTTACGTCTAGATGAAGTGAAGCTAACAAGCCAGAGTTTGTATGTACAGCCTCCCATTTTGTAAAAGAAACATTTGAGAATGAAGACAACTTGTGAATGTTATTCTTTTCACATCCTTTCCTCAGCAGCCAGGGAAAGGAACCATATGGATGGGGTGCACTCCCAGCCAGCACCGCAGCACTGTTTGCATAAACAGTCATATATGCAACTCAATTTGCTCGCCAGCAAATGTGCAAACACCCAGTTAGTGGGGACTAAACCTGCCTCAGCAGAAAAGAGACTCCTTCCCTCTCCAGCACTGTGCATAAGGAGAGCAGATGTCTCCTGCATAGTCATTCTTTGGTTGATGGCAGGCTGAACAAAGCCGTGGTGCTGGCCCTTGCTCATTGGAGGCGGCTGGTGAAGGAACGGGGACACATCAACAATCGAAAGGTTGGCGAAGCTTTAGAGCTATGGGGAAAGCCTCAGCTTTCTCAGCCTCAAGAGCAGGGCCCCAACAGCTCTTTTGGCTTCAGTGTCTTAAAAGCTACAACCCAACCCTAAATTACAGGCAGAGTTCTGGTGAGCTCCTCTGGATACTTGGAGCAGCCTGGAGAGGAATACATGCAAAACACAAAAACTCCACAGTCTCTGTCCTGGACCTCCAAGCATGTATTTAACTATTATTTACCATTTAATCATGTCATTACTCGCTAATTTATTTGAGAATGTGTTTTCCTCTCATTAAAACTGTTGCAATGATCTCTGCCAAAATTCTACCCACCAGTGTTCTGTGCTCCTTCCCTGTGGTTCCTTCATGACTATTTGATTAATTTTCATTGATATTCTTCCAACAATAGCATCTAAAATTAACTGGGTCAGTTTTTACATAACTTCCTGACTCACCAGGGTACGTGTCCTAAATAAATATGTCCATACAGGAGTCAAATGACCCTTCCAGCACTAGCAGGAGCTGGGACATTTTGCAAAGCTTGTGTTCTATGATAAGAGAAAACATTTTATTCTCATCTCTTAATTGAGGATCTTTTATTCAGTCAAAATTTCATTTGGATTAAGTCAGAGGTTTGACTCAGTTGGCTGGACGTGGCCTTGAGTGAGGGGGAAAGGGAGATTTTAATGCCAAATACATTCTTATGAAAAACATTTTCCAAATGGCTGAAATTACAAATGTTAGTGTTGAGGTACCTGAATTTAAATGGTACGTTTGGCCTCCAGGCATTAGCTGCTGATTTCTTGC